CCCCCCCCCCCCGCCCCAGCCACAGCATCTATAATCGGTCTCCACAATTTTGCGAACACATCGTAAAAAGTTTGAATGAGAAGCCAATCAATTAGAGCATGGTGTGGGCACTTTCTAAGCATCTTTTTAAACATCTTTCAAGCCTCATAAATGGATTCACCATCTAATTAGGTGAAGATATGATATCATTCCAAAGTTTGATAGTTTTTTAAGGTAGTAGATATTTTGCTAAGAATTTTTTAGCAAGGTTAGTCCAAGTAGCTATAGATCCTGGGGCTAAAAAATGGAACCAAATATTAGCTTTATCCCAAAGAGATAATGGAAACAACCTAAGTCTAATAATGTTGCGTGAGATAAAAGGCTGGACATAACTCTAGAAAACTAACTATATGGAGATTAGGGTCTTCTACAGGTGAGTTTCTAAATTGATCTTTTTGGATGAAAAGTGCCAGCCTGAATGGTAGGGTTATTGATACTTCTATGGATTTCATCTATCATGGGTTTTGATAAATTTCCTAAGTGGTCTAGGCATGATATTCTCTTCCTGAGTGTTTGTCATCTCTCCTAAATTCTTCCTTCCTAAAATTTTTTTTAAATTTTTTTTTTTTTTTTTTTTTTTTTTTTTTTTACGGATCTCTTAAATTCAAGTTCATAAGACATAAATTTAACTAGTCCAGTCATATGCATACAAGCCTGGAACTAGCAAGTGATAGCTTCTAAAGTAACAGGAAACACAATACACAAATAAAATTTACTAAATATGTAAAATAGAAGATTATGCATAAACTAAAAGCAAGAATAACAAAACATTTTTTTAAATTTTCTAACTCAATAAATAACAAATAAAATACAAAGAAAATACAACACGATGATTTGTAAGTCTAAACCTTAAAAGTTCAACAAAATCTTTCTAAAATTGGAAATTCAACGTCGTCCCCGACAACGACTCAAAAAACTTGATACACTTGTGTTGAAATTCAGAATAATCTGAAATAAAACGGAATAATTTTATTAATATGAAAAAGGGTATAAATAACTCTTACATGAATCCTAAAATAAGAAAATAAAAAAAAATTAACAGGAAAGGAAGCACATAACACCAATATTTTTAATTAATCAATTTATATAAATTATTTGGAGGAAAATGAAACAACATAAAATAGGAAAACCTAAAATAAGAAATAAATTAAATCTGATCCAAGAAAATAAATCTAAAATAGGAAATGAAATAAAATTATATTAGGAAATAAATTTAATTTTCAGTACTTTTAATACGAATAAATTATTTTCTAATTTAATTTCTAACATCCTCCCTCAAGTTGAAGCATAGTTGAAAATCATATTCAACTTTGATTTGAAAACCTCAAACAATGGGCGAGGGGAATCCTGTGAATTAGATTTCAGGTCTTTATCCCGTATTGTGGTTGCCTTTGAATACAATTCATGTACTTTCTGTGGGCAAGCGAAAAACTCTTAGAGGTAATGTTGCAGGAAAGTAGACAACCTACAAGAACAACTAACTTTTAGTTGACTGCGTTTGTCTTTGATTGCAGTTATTGTAGTGTCTATAGGTAGGCGGAAGGTTCCTATCATAATGTTGCGAGAGATTTTGTAGGGAAGTAAATAACTTGCATGAAAAATTGACTTCTAATTTATTGCAGTTCCTGCAGTGTCTGTAGGTATGCAAAAGACTTCTACAGATAATGAGATAGGAGAGTTTGTAGGGAAGTAGACAATCAACAGGAAAAGCCGTAGGATATGTCCTGCAGAGAAAAAAGGAAAATTTTTTTAGGTAAGTCTTGTTGCAGGAAAAGTCTTTGGAAGAGGGTCTATTGTAGAAAGGATTCCGGTGAAGGAACTGCTTCAGGAAAAGCTTTTGGAGGAGGGCATGATACAGAAAAAGAACTTCGAAGGACGACCTGATGCAGGCAAAAGTTCCGGAGGCATGCTGCAGGAAAAGCTCCAGAGAAGAGTTTGTTGCTGGAAAAGCTCTGGAGAAGGGCTTGTGGTAGGCAAAAGCTCCGAAGAAGAATTTGATGCGTGACAAGACTCCGGAGGAGGGCCAGTTGCAGAAAGAATTTCGATGGAAGACCTGCTACAGAAAAAACTCTGGAGGAGGGTTTGATACAAGAAAAAGCTCCAGAGGAGAGCTTGATTTAGGAAAAAAGACTCCATAGGAGGGCCTAATGCAGGAAAAAGGCTCCGAAGGAGGATCTGTTGTAGGAAGAATTTCGATGGAGGATCTGCTGTAGGAAAAGCTCCGGAGGAAGTTCTGTTGCGAGGAGAGCTTGCAACATGATACTTCTAGCTACAACGTTGGGAGATTAACATGTGTGTCCAAAAAAAGTGTAACAAAATGAGTAGAAACATACCCGCTCCTCGGAAAACCAGAAACAACAACACTCCTTAGCCTCTTTTGAGCTCATAAGAAACAGTTGTTTCATATTATAGTTCATGTTTGTCTACCTGGCATAATTACTTTCTATGGACAATGAGCTTATGATTTGGGAAATAATAATAGGACCAAGACTTGTGAAAGTGAAACAAAATATGGTCGTTAGAGTCAAACGGGTTTTAGAATGGGATATCTTTTGAAATAGCAGTATGCTGAAGTAATGTGCATTCAAATGGCAGTTCAACAAGAGGAAGCAAATTCTGACAAAAAAAAAAAACAATGCATTTGGAGCTTCTGTATTATTTTTTTGAAAGTCCCATCCAACAATTAATTTATGGTGCTTTCCTCTAGGGAAATGCTTATAGGTTATGATGATAAATATATTCTTTGGCGTTTATGTTGACATTGCTTTTTCTTTGATCCCGGCTCTTATTAATTGGGATAAGGCTAATGCTGATGATGATAATAAAATTAATGAGAAATTGCTGGTAAAATTACCATCTTATGGTAGAACAAGTGGCGAAATTAGGTCAAGTCTGGAGCGTGCAATTGTCCATCCTAGAACTCGAGATTTTTCTATAAATGATAGAAAATTTAATAATTTTTTCAATATAGTTTGAGCAATTTAGTAATTTTTTCCTAATCTCAATAGATTTTCTTGCTCAACACTCGTTCGCTTTAGCATGATCATCTTCAATCGAACCCTCTTCACCTTCCTACTAGTTACATACACTTTACAAATATATCCTGTAACTTATATGAATTGACATGTATAAACCTAAATTTTAATATTTATTTGTATAATAATTAAATTTTTAACATCACATCAGAAATACTACTAATATTAATTTTGTAAAGTGAAACATATATTTTCATGCGCATGTTTTGATATGAATATGTTACTTAAAGTTATGCAAATATCGAAGAAAATTTATAAAAATTGTATGGTATGTTTGTAAATTTCCAGTATTGCTTTACAGGTTCGATCAACAAACTCAGCCGGGACTTGTTGCATGTAAGGATGCTGCTAAAAGATTGATTGAGCTTGGGATGGTCTTCACTCCAATAGAAGAGGCAATCAAAGAGTCAGTGGAAAGCATGGAAGCAAAAGGATTTCTTGTTCCCACCTAACCTGCAATCGTAATTCAACTAGCCTCTTCCTCATGAGCAAGATCTTTATCAATAACAAGCTTTTCTATGAAACATTAATTATTTAATTAAATTAAACCAAACACGATTGAACAAAAGTTTATTCGTATTCGACTTATTTATAAATAAATTTGGATCAAAAAACCCAAATTGATCTTTGAAATGTAGTTACCCATTGTTGGGCCATCATATGTTCAAGATGTCATGCCATTTTCAATTACAATAGTGTGGAGTTCACTCATTCAAGATTATTTAAATCGTAAGATTCCTCCTAAAACTCATCATTTTTTGTTTATCTTGGTTAAGCAACTCTAGAACTCTAGCCCTTAGTTGGTAGCTGTTTTTATCAACTCGATTCTAATTAGCCAAACATAAGTAGTGGAATAAGCCATCTCTCATCTTTTGAGTTAACTAATTTGATCATTGAATTGACTAGATAAACATAATCTTTAATCACACATGTATGAATAATATTCAATTCTTTCAAATAATAAAGCCAAGCATAGTTTGAATCTTGCCCTTAGTCATTTAATCGCATATATTTTAGAAATCAAGTATAATGTTTACTTCATCATATTCCTACTTTAGTTATCAATCATTTTTTCATATACTTTTTAGCTCCAAAAGGTGTATCATTTTGGTTGATGATAGTGAAGAAGAAAAGAGAAGTCTGTCTTCTTACAACTACCCCACAAGATGCTTGGACTTAACAATTCTCTAGATTGATGATCACTAGGGCCGTAAATGAGCTGAGCTTGAGAGAGCTCAGGCTTGGCTCGTGTTCGGCTTGTTCAAAATTGCTCAAGTTCGAAGTCGGCTCATGTTTGAAATTGGCTCTTGAACTGTGTTCGTGCTCAGCTTGAAATTAACTCGTTAAACTTAATTTGAAAACATAAATGTAGAGTATTGGATTCAAACCTGGACCAAATATATTCAAAAGAATACACATAACACCATTACCACATGAGCTATTGTAATTTAAATTTAGATATAAATTTATATTATTATCTAAATAATTATATGTTTTATTTTATTTCAAGCTAAAACGAGCCGAACGAGAGTGAACCAAGAGCTGTTCGTGTTCGGCTCGTTTAATAATTCGAGCTTAGTTCAGCTCGTCTACTTAACGAACGAGCTGAACAGGAGCTACTTAATGAGCCGACACGAGTTGTTCGCGAACAATGAACTTTTTTGACAGCCCTAACGATCCCTTCATGTAGACAAATGAAATTTTAATTCTTCACCAAAAACAATGGAAGTATCGATGGAGAAGGGCACAAATCTTCGCATGGGTTGCTCAAGAAAAAAAGATTTGTCTTCCCATGTTGATTTTAAGAGGAATGAAAAAGATGATGAATTGCACCTCTTCATATTTTTGTAATATATAATTTCAATTTATTTGCAAATATTTTTGTAATTTATACTACATGAAATAATGTTGAGCACAACCAAGTGGGCGAAAATAAATTATCACGTGTAAGGCCTGTGAAAGAGTTGGTAAAAAGATAAATAGATTAATAAAAATGACATTTTCATTCTTACCTCCCACTTTTTATATATTTACATATCTAACCTAAATTTTAGCATCAAATGAAAAGCATTATTATTACTAACTTTTTAAAAGTGAAATATACATTTTCATGCATAAATTATAACATCAAAATATTCTAAATGTAAATATTACACTTTAGGTGTTAGATTTGTAAGTACATAAGAATTGTATGGTATATATGTAAATTTTTCATAAATAAATTGTCGTTGTTACTGAGTGGAGAACTACCCAACATGGTAGAGTGGACTGACTCGTAGAAGTGTCGATGTACAACTTAATTTTTTAAGGTCGGACCTAAGCCATACTGCATGAAATGACGTACAAAAATAAGCGAGTTAGGTTGATTGCGAAGCATAAATGAGCAATTTATTTTTGATGTGGGCCAAACCACAGCGGTCTCTCGTGTTTCTTCTGTCATTGTCTCATGGGGTTTTATCTTTACCTTGGATGATTAACTGAGATTTTGAGAAATGGCTTGATTTGTTGATAGCAAATGTTTCAGGCGCCCCGTAGGCAATCACCTATATGAAAAATATGAGGATGTTTGAGTGGGAATTTGAGAAATGCCTGAATGAGAGTGCTTGATTTGTTCATAGCAATGTTTCGGGTGCCCTGTATATAGTAGTTTCAAATGAAAAACTCAGGGTGGGGTTTTATCTTTATTTTTGATGTTTGAGTGAGAATTTGAGAAATGACCGAAAGAGGGTACTTGATTTGTTGATAGTAATGTTCACGATGCCCTATATGTTATTTGAGTGAGAATTTGAGAGATGGCTGAAAGATGATATTTGATTTGTTGATAGCAATGTTTTGGGTGCTCTATATGCAGTAGGTTGAAATGAAAAATGTGGTGTGGGTTTTTATCTTTATCTTTGATGTTTGGGTGAGAATGACAAATGGCTGAAAGAGTATTCCATGTATGTAACTGCATCAAATGCAAAATATGGGGTGGGTTTTTATCATTACCTTTGATGTTTGGTTTTTGTGTAGAGGTGGTGGTGTTGTGGAGGTGATGGTGTGTGGTTGTGTTTGTATTAGAGTATGTGTTGGTGAATGTGTGGAGGTGGTGGTTTTGTGGGGGTTGTGGTTGGTGTGTGGATGTGTTTGTGTTAGAGGATGTGTTGATGAATGTGTAGAGGTGATGGTGTTGTGAAGGTGGTAGTTGGTGTGTGGTTGTGTTTGTGTGGAGGTGTTAGTGTGTAGAGGTAGTTGTGGTGGTGTTGTGGATGTGTTTGTGTCTTGATGTGTTGGTAAGTGGAGGTGTTGGTGTGTCAGTGATGATGTGTAGGTGTTGGTGTAGTGTTGTGTGGAGGGGCATTGGTGATGATACTATGACATTCCTTTTTTTTAGTTACGATATTGTGGCATTCTTATTTATGTTATTTAGTTTTTTTTTTCATGCTATTAACACAATGATTAAGACGAAGGAGGTAGGTTCATCTGTAACGTGGGATAAAGAGAAAAAAAATAATATTTTGAGACCTTTCCCTCAAGTAGAACTATAAATGACCAGAGCTGGACCTCGACTCGTGTTCGACTCATTCCAATTTGCTCGTTCTCGAAATGGCTCGTGAACATTATGTTCGTTTTCGACTTGAATAACACATTCTAGTTCGTGTTCGGCTCGAAATAGCCTCGTTAGAACATATTCCGCTGAATAACACCGAGTGACATCGTGGAATAACACTGCGATGCTATTAGGGTGTTATTTGCGGTGTTATTGGTGTTATCGTGTTACACTGCGGAATAACACTGAGCAATACCGCAAAATAACACTGTGGTACTCGCGGTATTATTGGTGTTATTCCGCGGGGTTGATGGTGCTATTACGCGGTTTACACCGCAGAATAATGCTGCTACGGTGTTTCTTGGTGTTATTCTGCAGTGTAACATCATATAATAACACTTAAAACACCTCGAAACAGATAACACCTCAAATAACACTGCAGTGTTATTCCACGGTTTATGTGGCTGGTAACTACAACTTCCCACTGTGACCTCTGTCACCAACTGATGCTACTACAACTTTCAAATATAGTCACTATGACTAAATGCCGTTAATGCAGTCATCGACTATGTCTTATGTGACCGAATGATGCTCTTATTACTTTCAACTACAACATTTGTGACCAATTGACACTATTACAATCATTGTTCATGGACTGTGTCTAACTGCTACTATTGTATCAACCGATTACAGCCTTTTCGGCCAATTACTACCTTTATAGCAAACAAATATGATGTTTGTGGCTAGCTATTGCTATTATAGTCAAGAATTATGTTTATTGTAACCCAATTATGACTATTATAATTGAATTACTATTACACATTTGTAATTATCTATTATTCAATTTTATTTTCTTTGATTCATGAAAAGAATTGACTTATGTACTTACAAACACAGAGTGATCACTTAATTATGACTATTATAATTGAATTACTATTACACATATATAATTATCTATTATTCAATTTTATTTTCTTTCTTATGTACTTACAAACACAGAGTACACAGAGTGATCACTCTGATTCTGCTAGGCCATAATTATTTTTCTAGAATTTTTCCACAAAAAAAATACTAATATCTCCTCTTATTATTCGTCTAATATTTATAATGTTTTAGATCTTAGTACACTAGAGAGAGAGAGAGAGAAGATGAGTAATGTGTATTCACGTGGGACAATCGACTGCAAGTGCCAACTTATCTCGATCGACCCGACCGCCGCGTTCCAATGAGCGAGGCATCGTCCCCCCTTCTTCTTCAACATCAAGAAAACAAAAATGAAAGAAAAAAACAGGCCCATTTATTACCTCTCAAGACTTTCCGCTCTTCCACTCCCTCAGTGCTCTTCTCCTCCTCCAAGAAAAAGATGAAGATGGTGGAGTCAGACCACCTTCTTCCTACAATCCCACCTCCACCTTCCCCTGCCTAAAGTTATCCATCATTTGATCCCCGTTTCTCCTATAAAAACCAGACAAAACTGTTCAGACAGAAAAAACAAGAGCAACGAAGAGGAGATCATGGGAAGCATGGAGGAATACACTACATCTCGCAAACAGAACAATCAGCAACAGAGCACAATCCGATCAAAACTGAAGCTTGTTCTCCTCCTCATCTCCTCCAACCTCCTCACCATCTACCTTTTCTCTTCCCACAAACCCCTCAGCTTCCGCCTGTCAGATCACGTCCCTGTAATCCATCTCTGGGACTCTCAATCCCTCCTCCGCGAACTCAACTCCACCCAACTCCGCCTCTCCCAAACCAAATCGCAGCTCTCCCAACTTCACCTCCGCCTCCACACTTCCAACTCCCTCTTGGAAAACCTCCTCTCCGAACTCGGCCACACCCACAACCATCATTCCATCACCGACGGCGATCTCTCCGGCGAGCTCAAACTCGCCGTCGGACCCCATAAACTCCCCCTCGGCTTCACCTCCCAGCTCGACACCGATGAACTCTTCCCCTCCCTCGGCTCCCCCTGCCTCCGCTTTCTGGACGAGCTCACCCAATACATGAATTACCCCATCGGCGGCGATTGCCCCGTCGACGACAACTTCGCCCAACGCCTGATGCTCAAGGGCTGCGAACCTCTCCCCCGCCGGCGATGCCATCCCAAATCCCCCTCCGGCTACATCGGCCCCCACCCCTTCCCTTCCAGCCTCTGGTCCATCCCCCCCGACACCAGCATCATCTGGGAACCCTATTCCTGCAAGAACTACAGCTGCCTCGTCAACAGAGGGAAATCGAAAGGCTCTTACGATTGCAAGGACTGCTTCGATCTCCACGGCCGAGAAAGAACTCGCTGGCTTTACGACAATGGCGGCCTCGATTACAGCATCGATCACGTCCTCTCCCTCCGACCTCCGGGAACCATTCGCATCGGCCTCGACATCGGCGGCGGAAGCGGGACCTTCGCCGCCCGGATGAGGGAACGCAACGTCACCATTGTCACCAGCTCGATGAACTTCGACGGCCCGTTCAACAGCTTCATTGCGTCGAGAGGGCTTCTGGCTCTACACCTCAGTGTGGCGAATCGGCTCCCGTTCTTCGATCATACCCTAGACATCGTGCATTCGATGCATGTGTTGAGTAATTGGATTCCGGATCAGGTTCTGGAGTTCGCTCTGTATGATATTTTTAGGGTTTTGAGGCCGGGGGGATTGTTCTGGCTCGATCATTTCTTCTGCGTGGGGAGGGAGATGAATTACACCTATGTGCCCATGTTCGAGAGAATAGGGTTTCAGAAGCTGAGATGGGATGCGGGGAGGAAGCTTGATAGGGGGATTGACAAGAACGAGTGGTATCTCTCTGCTCTGCTTGAGAAGCCCATGACATGAAAGCAGAGAGGAAGAAGATGAAGAAACCGATACCAGAGTCTTTTAGTTCAAATTATATTGAATGAATTTGTGAAATTATGTGATTTGTTTTGAGATTATTACAATTTAAATTATTTATTTACAGTATTAATCTCAAAATAAATTAAATTATTTTCGATGTCATGCTGAAATGGGTGTATTTTCATAGCCATCTTTTAAGTGGTCTGCAAGAAGGATTTAACTCTTGTTGGATTTAATAAATTTTATAAATTTGGATTTGCTATGCTTAGTGGTGCTTAAATTTTGATATTTATTTGGGGGTAATATGCATTAAATTTTAGCGCTGTCAATACGACTCGTTGTTCACGAACAGCGCGTGTTTGACTCGTTTAGAAGCTCGTGTTCAACTCATTCACTAAGTTAACGAGCTCAACATTAGTGTTCGGCTCATTTTGGCTCGAAATACTACTCATTATAAAGTTCCATATATTTATATGCTTGAAATTAAAATTATTATATTTAAATAAGAAATATCATTATATTAATTTTTTTGGAAGTGCAATACATCATTCCATGCAAAATTATTAAATTATATTCAAATGATGTTTTAAAAATTAACAATAATTTTTAAATTTTGCCCCAATCTTTAACATCTTATGGCTACATAATTAGCGTTGTCAAAACGACTCATTGTTTGTGAACGGCTCGTGTTCGGCTCTTTAAGCAAACGAACCGAACATGAACACACTTGTTGAGCTCGAAGTATAAACGAGCCGAACACGAGTTGAGCATTGGCTCGCTCTTATTCGGCTCCTTTACACTCCTATTAAATTTGATTAAATTTGGGCACATTGTTTTGTTTTTTGTTGATATTTGATTTTTTTATTTGAAGATTTACATGCATCGCTCGATTTATGTAAGTATATATCTAACATTGAAATTTTATATTTTACATTTATTTTGTGACATGAAAATTTTGGGTGGTATTAAGTAAAATTTCAAAGTTTTGGTGTTAGATATATAAATATTTAGAAATTGGGTGGTTGGTATGTGAATATCCCTTTATTATTTGTATATTTAGTTTTTATCAGTCATAATTAGATTAGGTAAATGATGATTAGTGTAAGATAAAACTTGATTAGTCATAATTAATAATTTATTGAGTAAAATGAATAAAACTACCACTTGGTCGAAATAAACAAAAGATAATACTAATTTATTACATAACATAATTTCATGTACATGCCTACCACATAATTCTTATGTATTTACATATTAACATCTAAAGTTCCATATATTTATATGCTTGAAATTAAAATTATTATATTTAAATAAGAAATATCATTATATTAATTTTTTTGGAAGTGCAATACATCATTCCATGCATTAATTTATGACACAAGAATGTGATAAATGTAAATATGAAACTCCATGTAGTAGACATACAAATACATAAGAATTAGTGGGCATGTATGTAATTCCCCCAAATTTTGTATTTATTTGCATATTTAATGCTTAAATTTAATATTCATTTATAAAATAGTTTAGTATTATAATAATATCAGCAGTGTCGCATATTATGACTCTTTGGTTGACAAAGTTTTTAAGATCTCTAGGATCCCGCATGTGCGGAATGGAATTCATAGGTACGTGAGATTGGTTGGAAGGATCGTCTAATAGTCGCTTGTATATATATATATATAATCATGTCAATCAGCATGCATGAATATTTGTGCTCCATTGCATAAATATTATTATTAATGATACTTTTATGTGATTTTAAAGTTTAGGCATTAGCCCTGTAAATATATATAAATCATATTACAATTTTTCAATTATATTGACTACCACCTTATTTTTATGGTTGATTGCTTATTAACTTAAATGTTCTCGTATATAATTAATTTGAATATTAATATTTTTTAAGTTAATTTTTTTTATTTGATTAAATTAATTATATTACACTTAGTATAGATAACATTTGAATTAATCATTAATTAATAATTTATTAAAAATTGCAATTTTATTTTGTCGATTTAATTAATAAATATTATCATTTTCTATTAGCAATTTTTTCAAAATTAATTTGTATTAATTATGAAGGTTGATTATTTTAATTAAAAAAACTATATGTAATATATTTGATTTATCATTACTAATTTTTGGAAAATTTACATTCATACCTTACAATTCTTATATATTTATATATCTAATACCCTAACTTTCATATTTAAATTTATAATTCTGGTGTGATAAACATATACATGAAAATGTGTCCCAGGCTTTATTATATGCAAATCATCTTGTAAATTATCAAAAAAAACTCCCCGAAGAGGTTAATGATTAAGAGGTTTACATGTATTTTTGTCATGTTGGAATCTAGGCCTATAAACAGGGATCCATTCCTTGGGCATATTTATCAAATAATTTCTTTTTTTGAGATTTACGTACATATCACTTAATTAACGTGAATTTATAAGTAACAATTTAATTTTTGAATAAATGTCATATTATTGATGCATGAAAAGATGTATTTTACTGTGATATAAAATATTTTGATGACATAAATGCAAAAAGTATAATTAAATGTTTAATTTTTTTAGTTATTTGGCAAAATTTTGCTTAAATAATACTCAAAAAATTGCTGCCAAAAGCCTATAAATGATGAATGCTTGCATTACGCTAAAGGAAAAAGAAAGGAGATATTATGCATTTGTTACAACTTACACATGTTTGCGATGGGACCTTGGTTTTCTAACTCTATTCCCGGATTAAAAATTTAAAAATTGGGATATTTACATACAAACCACCCAATTTCTTTGTATTTACTTATATAACCAACTAAACTCTATCTTTCATATTTGTACCATTCAAATCTTTCATATCGCATAAAAAATACAGTTAAGGTGGCATGCATGTAAAAAATAAAGTTCAAGTGATAGATATGTAAATATTTTTTTTAAAATATAAATTTTCATACATAGATTTATACAATCAAAATGCTATAGATACAAAAATCCAAATTTATTCATGTGAGTTAATTTAGTTTTTGAAATTATATTCAAATTTCATATAGTTCCACCAAATGGTGCTCATCACCCTTTTCCTAGCAATAAGGTCAATTCACATATCAATGTTTCTTGTTAATTCGCCTACAAATAGCCTCGAAAACAAACTATCAGACATTATTAGTACAATCATTAAAGGGGCATTTATATGCATGCCACCTAATTCTTATATATTTACATATCTAAACATCTATACTTCTATATATTGAGGCATTTACATACACACCACCCAACACTTATGTACTCACATATCTAAAACCTAAACTTTTATCATTGCATTTATAACACCCAAATCTTTCACATCAGGTCAAAAATACCACTATTTTAACTTATAGAAAGTGAAA